AACCCAACAAATACAATCATAGAAGCATCTTTAAACTTGAAAATCAACATGATTTCTACCAAGTATCATAACACATCAGTATCTAATTAACATATCGAGCGGCCCCAAAAAAGTTGGATGTATAGCTCCAACAATCACTCATCAGAAATTGGTAAATTTGCGATTATGAAGACAATCTTACATGGGTAGTGTGAAACATGTTAATGTGTTATATGCCATGATCAGAATGAAACAAAAGGAGAGAACTTTCGATTACCTTATCAACTTTTACGAAAATTTCATCAACCCGATGCTTGAAAGACTCTGCTTCTGCACCATTGTCAGTAAAATTTACAGCTCCACCATATATGGCATCTAAAATTGGTGCCTCCATTTGCTCCATCTGTTGGAAAAGACAGATATAAAGGTCATGTTGTGTCACTAAATTAGTATAATTGCTTAAACCATGAAAAGTTGAAAACACGAACCAGTACGTAGGAAAATAAAACTTCGCTACAGAGATGAAGACGGAGCTGAAATTGGGTTTGGAGAGAGAGAGAGATAGAGAGAAAGAGAGAAAGAGAGCCTGGGTGTATAAGAAGAAGGTTTCTGCTGCGAAGCGAAGCTACGGCGGCGTCCGCTTTGTTTCACCCTCGTTCGTTTGGATGGTTAAAAAGTCGGTTCCTCGTTTACTCTCTTAGCTTTTTAAATTTTCTCATAAAAACGGTTTTTTTGTTTGGGTTAAAAACATACATCAATGAATAAGGGTAAAATTAGATTAGATCAAACGGGCATAGTGAAAATGCAAATTTTTTTAATGAAAATTTCTATTATTATCTTAATGTAGAATGATAAATAAAATAAAATAATTCCAATTATTTTATTTAAAAAAAATGAATTCCTTTTTTATGTCCAAATGTTAGCTACTAACCTAGAGTGATTAGAGCTTAAAATGTGGTTTTGCTCTTAAAATGCGGTTTTGCAACATTTACATTAGTGGTGCAAACATGCTCCGTCACAATAATCGTTCAAGGCTAACTTTAAAGAATAAAATATTAGGGTTACGCCGTCCTTCAGTTAATTATATTTTTTATGCCATATTTATTTATTTGTAATGAGTATTAAAATTATTGTGATTCCTGATATCTTGTATATTTAGTAGTAATTTTTCGTTTCTTTTATAAATGTTAGTAGAAGTTTCAAATTTAAATATGTCCCTCATTCATTAAAATTATCATTTTCCTTTTTTGTTTATATCCATATAATAATGGAATATATTTAATAGATTAAACTTCAGGTAATGTGTTGCTGCTGTACCTGTAACTTGCTATTTAGTGTGTTTATCATGCTCATCTTAACTCAATTGTATGTGAAAAATTATATCGAAATCGACATGCTACACAAGATTAGACAACTTAACAGCCAAAAGGAAAATTAGATAGACCCAAAAAAGATAAAATAATTAGATAGACACACCAATGTTGACTATTTAAGCTTAATGTCCATACACACTTTATTTATAAAACATAAAAAATAATAATAATAAGTTTAGTGTGACGAAGTTCTCGTGTTGCATCACCTTCTTATTAACTTCGTTAAAAAAAAAATACTTCACCGGGAAAAAAATAATTGTAGAAAAGAATATAAAAGCCCAAGAAAAATAAATTATTTTAAAAAACTCTTCAGCAAGCTACATTTTCACATTGCTGCTGCATGCGTCCCCCAGTCCTAGCCATCTTTCCTGCAAGTGAAGTTATAAATCAGAGAAGAAATAGTTAAACAAGATGCTTTAATTTATCTCTATATACCAAACCAAACAAACAACACTACTGAACCTCAAATCCTATAGACTATATCAATTCAAGAAAGAGCACATCATGTTGGAATATATGTACCTCTTCAATAACAACTTCAGGAAGAAGCTCCAGCCACTTCTCCTCAAATTTCTCCCGCAAAGTTTTGGCTATAACATGAACATCATGTCTCTCATCATTATATTTCATCGCGTTTTCGAAAACTAGCCTCATATCTGCACACATCTCCCGAACGTTTTTATATCCGTTGGCTTTCATTCGATTATCAATTGTTCCGAAATCCATTGGCTTCTCAATAACCTAGAACATAATGCGTAACAGATTATTTTTGTACACATATATGGAAGAGAAGTGTGTTTGGATTGAGAAAAGATAGCTAGAGTAACTTTTGAAATTTTTCTCATTCGGATTATCTAAGAGAAGAAAACTTTGAAGCCTCACTTTCTCTCCAGAAGTGGAGATAGTACAATTGTGATATTCAGAGAATGTGCTTACTCAAAGATTTTCTCTCTGTTTCTTTCCTCTCTATCCAAATAAGAAATAAGCAACACTAAGCTTCATCTTTTCTTTCATGTATTTTCTCTTCTCTCCTAGATGGTAACTAAAATTGCCAAACACATTGGAAACTTTCAACTGGGGAGAGAAAAAAAATTCCATTGAATAAGAGTCATTGGATCATCAATGAAAACATCATAAACATCTTTTCGCAGAAGAACACGAATTAATACTTAGAATACCAGCCAGAATATAGAGTTGAAGAAGAAGTAATAAACTTTACCTTGTAATAGTCATGTAAACCAAGACGTTCTGCATCTACAGGGCAAGCAAAGACCCATGCGTACTGATGTTTTCTAATCTGATAGCCGAAGTACATACACATCAGAAACTCCACATAAACACACACAAGGGGAGCCATGAACTTACCTCACGAAATATTGAGCCAAAGAGGCGCATAAGTCCTTGCATTCTCTTCTCAGCAGCTGCTTCCCAAGCATCCTGCTGCTGCTTCTTCTTAATAATTTGGATATCCAGCTGCTGCTTCTTCAAAATACTTTGGATATTTTTCTCTTTGTGCTTCACAGCTGAGCTACTTTCAGCCGTACTCGACAGCTCTATCGCATCGACTCTTTGCCGAAGCTGCGAAATCCAGCAGAAAAATGTGATACCAAGAACAATAATATAAAATTATAATAATGTTATAGATGTATGGACCTTCAAACAACTACCAATTTAAGTTAAACCCAAAAAATACGATCACATAAGCATCTTTGAACTGATAATCAGCATGAAATAAAAAGCTGACAAATTTTACATTGGTAGTGTGAAATTATGTAACATGTTAATGCGTGTATCTGCCATGATCAGAATCAAACAAAAGGAGAGAACTTTCGATTACCTTTTCAACTTTTACGGAAATGTTATCAACCCGATGCTTGAAAGACTCTGGTTTTGCATAATTGTTTGGAGAATTGACGGAACTTTCAGTATGTATGTCATTGTCAACCTCCATTTGATCCAATTTTGCAAAGACTGAGTCAATGGCATCTGTCTCCATTTGATCTATCCGTTGCAATTTGCAAAAGACTGATATGACGGTGATGTTTTGCCACCAAATTAGTATAATTTCTTAAACCGTGAAAAGTTGAAAACACGAACCAATACGTAGGAAAAGAAGACTTTGCTGCAGAGACGAAGACAGAGCTGAAATTGGGTTCGGGGAGAGAGGGAGTCTAGGTATATATATATATATATATCTAAGGAGGTGATAAAACCCTAACCTAATTAGGATTCCTTAATTACCACTTAATACATGTTTATTTAGATTTCTTCTTTACTAAGGAATCTTATTCCTTCCAACTTAAGGGCTTGTGATGTCTATTCTCTCCCTCATGGCTACTTCGTCTACCTCCTCTCCCTCCTCCCTCTCGGCTGCGAAGCGAAGCTATCCACCAGCCCTGGCTCAGGGTCGAGAACTGAGGGGGCACCAAAAAAAAAAAACTAAGTCTTTTATCTTTCTTGTTCATTTTGAAGAGAACGAATTTTGCAGTTTTGATTTTGTGAAGAGGTATAACAAATCAAATAATAATTGGTGGAAGTTCATGTTGTACCCTCTCAAATAGAATCCAAGATCATTGATGGTCAAGTTTGCTCTGAAAGATATATATTATGCAAAACAAGAAAGTAACACCTATAGTAATGTTTTTAGTAGCACTACTCTTTTTTCCTAAGAAGTTCCGAAATTAAAATCTGCACCTTATTGATTAAAAATACAATTGCTTTATTTTCATTGTTTTAATCCACTTAATAATGAAATATATTTAACTGATTAAACTGCCGGTAATGTGTTACTATTTTGCCTGTAACTTGATAATTAGTGTGCTGAGAAGAGAAGGAGAGAGAGAACGCTTTAGATATGGGGTTTTTTTTTTCCAAAGATCCGACAGAGAGAGAGAGAGAGAGAGTCGCTTTAGATTGAGGGGGATTTCCTTCAGATCCCGTCGGATCTTCGGTGTTTTCAGCTTTTGGTGGACTTATGTCGATCTATTCTTTTTGGACTTTATGGTAGATTCACTGCTCATTGGTGCGTTGAGACGGTAGAGTAACTAAGTGACACTCTCTATGTCATGCGGTTAGTTTTCCTTTTGCTGGCATTGTTTTAGTTGTTCAATAAAGTCCAAAACCTCTATAAGTTTTGTGTTTTTCTCTTATGATTCCATAAACTTGGTTGAATTTGCTCGGTGTTCTTAGTATCTTTATGAGAGTCATGATGTTTAGCGGCTAGCTTTTGTCCTTAATGTCATTGGATTAGATTCAGGGAAATTATGGAGATTGAGAGAGATTATAGAAAAGTTATTTTCGAGAATGATTCTTTCTAGATCGTTTCAACTTTTTAGCTGACTTAGGTCACTGGGAAAGTTTTACCCATGTCTGCCATATTGTTATTGGGATGGCTCTCTTTACGGTCTATATCATTTGTACTATTATTCCTATTTACCTAATAAAATTATATCGCATTTTTTATCATTTTAAAAAAACTTGCTAACTTAGTGTTTGTCATGCTCATCTTAACTTCATTTGTGTGTAAAAAATACTATTGAAATCAACATGCTACACCCTCATTCTACTACTATTGTAGAAGGTAGATGGCCTCACATTTTGAAAAAAAATTGTAATTTCAACGTTTGAACTAGATCCGACAACTCAACGGCCAAAAAGAAAATTAGATAGACCCACAAAAAAGATTATATAATTAGATAGACACACCAATTCTGACTATTTAAGCTTAGACCATACGTGACCAAGGAAATTATCATTCCTATTTGTTTATTTTTTTTTATATATAAATAAATAAAAACTTAGTCTATACATCACCAAGCAAAAATATCATTGTAAAAAAATAAAAATAGCAAGAAAAAAGTACACAAAATGAATAAACGGAAAAATCCTCCAAGTGTGAAATGAAGGACTAAGTCCACGCGCGGGAATGGTGTTTTTTACACGGGCTTTGGTGACGGAATGCAACCAAACGACGCCTTAACCAACGCACTCACGAGGTGGGCCCTGCACCTGAGAGGCCGAAGCAGGCCCTTGTGGTGGGCCCCACCGCCATCGGCGGGTGCAGCGGCAACCAGTTCGGTTCCATTAGCGACCGGGAACATCGGCTTCGGGACCCGCCGGCTCTGCCTCCTCTTGATATCACGGAGCTCCATTTTGGGCTGGGGCTTGACCAGCGACCCGATCAGAACCATCTTATGCTTGCGGGACCTGCTGCTCTGGTACCGGCAGCTCCCGGTGGCCGGTGAGCTGGGCTTGAACGGCGAGGATATGGCCAGATCGAGGGCCGATCGGAAGCTGTGGGACCTCTTGAAGGAGTTGGTTTTGAAGAGGAAGAGGCCGTTTCGTGGGTCCCTCTGGACCAATTTAGGCTGCTTTGGGTTTTGGGGGGCATCGTAGGCGATCGTTTTGCCGCAGAAGACGATAGCGTCGAGCGTGGGGCCCACTGCGGAAGCGTCAGGTTCGAAATCCGGGTCGACGAGGAACTCGAAGAAGCTTTCCGGGGTGTCCGGGTATTGGCTGGGAGACGGCGAGTAGTTGTCGTAGTCGTCGTTGTTGAGGGAGAAGTCGCAGAAGGAGAGGGTGTCGTCAGTGTCGTCCATTTGTGGGACTGCGTTGTTTTTTATGTCGTCCATTTTTTTTCTTAAGGGAGAGAAGAAATGAATGAGGTGGTGTGAGAAAGAGGATGAGGAAGTGGGTTTTATATATGGTTGATTGGTGTTTGGAGGAGGAGGATGTTGAAAATTAGTGAGAGGAAGAAAGAGAGGAGGGTGGTTCCTTAAGCAAGGTAATTAGCATAATTAATTACTTAATTAGCTGAGGATTTCTAGAAGTGAGTGACTGTGAGAGAGAGAGAGGGAGGAAAAGTTTGCGTGGGTGGGGCTAAGGCTTCTGGAAGGAGGGAAAATCAAATACAAATATAGCTGACAAAGTGAATAGGAGCTACTAGAAGAGTGCACCTGAGTCAGCTAGAATCTTTTTTCTTTTTACCAATAAATAAATAAGATAACGTGGAATTGTAATTTCATTTGCGGAATGGATTGCAATTTTTTTTTTGGTTTGTTGTGGGAAATTTATGCTCTTCAAAGTTACACCTATAGGTTTTTATTTTTTGGTGGGATAAGGATGAAATGTCCTATGCATTATATATATTCGAGTTAAAATGTGACATGAGTTACAAATTTCCAATTATAATTTAATTTTTATAACAATTTTATTTTTTGGTCGAAGTTCCCCTTCATTGCAATCTCTCAAAAGGACAGAAAACAATACAAACAAAGTCGAACAAAAATACTGACTAGAAAACTAACAAGAAACAAATATGAACAGATCTAACTAAAACCATCACAGTATAGCATGAAGATCATGTTCCGAGTAAAAAAACTAAAACGGCAAAAGCCCACATAAAGGCATTTAGCCCACGTAAAGGCATATAGCCCACAATGAGGCATTACGCTCACATTCGGCATAAAATAAAACACCGGAAACCTAGCCGCCACAACCAAAGGGAAACTCTAAGCCGCCACCAACAAAGAGAAACTCCATGACTGTAGATGGACAAACCACCAATCACCACCATGAAGAACAAAACACTCCTAGATCAGCAAACCAAGTCAAATATCCCTCAAAACATAGCCTACCCAAGATTCACTAACATAACCAGAATTAACTCAACCAATACATCCAAAAGACAATGACCAACAAAAAAATGAATGAAAAAACCCATTTCACAGCCAAGAGAAAAAGACCCAAGAATTAACTTTTATAACATGTTACAATTTATTAGACGATATTTTCTATTCAATTTGTCACATGACTACGAACTCCAATTAAAACATCTATCAAAGCTCTCCATCATTAGGAGGAGAATAAAGATTGGCCATAAAATAAGGATCAATCTTGTTTAATGATCCAAATGGGAAGTTTGGCAAAAGGACATTTTTTTACCAATGAAGGAAACATCACCTTGCCTAATTTCTTGTGCTCATTGCCCTTTCCAAGCATTTCATCACGGTAATCATACTTAAAGAAAACATTATAGAAATGTTGAGTAATTCTTTAAAATATAGTACAAGCTATAGGAAGAGAGGATTTCACACACACACGCACACACACTACTATCAAAGTGTCGTGAGTATTCGAACTTAAGATCTACGATATGCAAATCAAGGTTATCTTCTTCTAGGCTAGATTTCGTTGGCAAATAACGAGTAATTTTATGTCTAATAACAAGGGCAGTGGGGGTGATTGCCTTCACTTTCCTTCACTTCCCTTGTTGCATATTCACCAAAGATCATATGTGTTCTTGACTCATACCTTTAAGATTCATTCATGAATTATAGTGAGAAAAATCAGTCCAGTTGAATGTTGTTTAGCAATTTGATAATCATTTGTGTTTTTACTGAAAATTGTGTTTTTATTTATATATGTAACCACAATTTTAAGATGAGAGTTTCAAGTTTGATTGATTTTTTTTTTTTTTTAACGAATGATCCTTAAGATAAAAACATAACTTTTAAGATAAACTCAGTGACTAAACGACGTAATTAACTGAAGTGACCAATGTGTTAGGCTTCTTCCACTTTCTTTATGTTATTGTTTTTTCTTATCAACTTATAGATTGATTTCGAGGCAGTTTTACAAAAGGTTTAACCACTAACCATGGAACTAATTCACACAAAATAATTACTAATAGAATAGAACCCAAAAAATATGTAGATTGATAAAATTTGTTATGTACATGACGAAGCTTCAAGCTAGGAACCAAAACCAATAAACAAATTTAATTATCAGCCGCCCAAATAAGACCTAAATCTCACACAGTGACACGTGGCACACACCCAAGAGTCGCCTTGGCCAACGCGCTCAACAGGTGGGATGGACACCTCAGCTGCCTCATCATCCTCGGACCCCAGTGCCCTTTCCCGGACCCCCTCTTTCCACCGACTACAGCCGATTGCTCCCCACCGTTTATCACCGGGAACATGGGCGCCGGAGCGCGCCGACTCTGCCGCTTCCTTATCTCACTCAAGTCCATCTCCGGCTGGTACTTCACCAACCCTATCAGCACCTTGTGCTTCCGCGAATTGCTCGACGGCGACCGGCATTTACCGGTTGCCGGTACTGGATCCGAACGAGCTGGAGAGGCAGAGGCCTGTGAGAATCTGAGAGATTCGGATCTGGAGAAAAATGGGTTCTTGATTTGAGGCTCTGGGGTTGGAAGCGTGATGGGTTTTGAGCAAAGTATGGACTTTCCGCAGAAAACGACGTCCATGGGGAGATACCCACAGATTGGGTCGACGCAGAATTCAAAGAAGTCTGCTGGGTCAGAAGAAGGAGAGGCTTTTGGGGTTTCTACTGATTCATCACCATCATCATCGAGTAATAGATCACAAAGGGAGAGTGCATCTTCTTCAACCCCTTGTTGTTGTTGTTCAAAATCAGAGAAGTTTTCCATTTTGATGATTTGAGTTGGGATGAAATTGATGCTCGTTGCTTGCTGCTGTTGGTGTTTGATAATTGGGACAGAGGTTATATATATATGGATGGATCATGGATGGAGTGAGAAAGTGGGCCTTCCTTCTAGAAATGGAGGGGGGTGGTGGCGACGTGGCGTTGTGGCGTTGTGGCGTTGTTGTTGATGGTTTTAAAATTGTGAAGCTTCTGGATGAACTAGGAAGAGGTAGTAGAAAATTGATTGAAAAAACAAGACCAACTGGAAGTCTGCATTTGGAAGAGCAGTCAAAGTAGAAAAAGGTTAAACAAAGAGATGGGATGAATGGAGCTGAGGAGGGGTTCATCTAGAAACACTAGAACAAAATGGTGGGTGCGTGAAGAAAACGAAACCTGAGCCTAGAAACCAAACCAAAAAAAAAAAAGACATGGGGCATTCCGAGAATTGAACTCGGGACCTCTCGCACCCTAAGCGAGAATCATACCACTAGACCAAATGCCCGCTGTTGTTCTATTGGCTAACTTTATTAACTATATATGTATTTGTATGGAGGGTTTTTTATTTTTTAATTTTTTTTGAGGAATTTTTATTTTTATTTTTTTTTTGGAGGAATCAATGTTAAACCCTGAAAATTGGTTTTTGTGTGCAGCTGAGAATTAGAGTGGAGAAGTGGAGCAAAAATGACGAGGGCGGCACTCTTTCACTTACTGCGATCACAGTCCAAGCAGCTCGCATCCTCAAACTTCCTTTCAGGTTCTTCTTCATTCCTTCCTTATATGTTGGCTTAATTTCTCTATCTATTGGGGTTTAGGGTTTAAGATCTCTCTGTCTACCCCTGGTTTTCATTTTCCATTCCAAAATTGTCGTAATGATTGTAAAATATTAAGAACCGAATTGACCAATTCACAAGTGTTACAACAAGAAGCTCAATTTACCCAATTTGTTTATTTTCATTTCAATAACGGTTTGCACAGAGACCATATTCTGGATCTTCTACTTCGGTGAATAATTTGGCACTTTTGGCTTAGCTTCTGGTTTAGGCAAACTCGGTTTGGCAAAAAGGATGTGCCTTTGGTCTCCTTCAGCCTTTCCTCAACCCTGTAGCTGTTGTAAACTTGTTGATAGAAAAACATCTTTCTTTGCACTCAAATGGTGCTTCACTATTGTTCTTGGAAACCCTTTTTCCAAAATCAATTAAGAATGTCTTTTTTTCCCTTAAACGATATTGTTTTCTGGCAATTGGAGAGGCCAAGAATCAAATTTTTCTCTTCCGAGCATAATTAACTGTTTTGTAGTGTATAACTGCTAACACACTGTTTTGGATATGGTAACTGTAAATGATGCTCTAGAAACAATCTTCAGTCTCCTAACTTTTTATCCTAGTGTCGCAACGACTTAGTTTAGTTTTCGGTTTCATGTTATGATCATAGTTATTAATCTACTCTCTTTTCTTTTGATTGAAGCTTATGTGCATTCGTTGTCGCATTTTGAAATTATATTTGATATGCCAAAATTGTAGCATCTGTTTTTGCTAGCCTACTGTTCAACCCATGAGATTCCAATGTCTTTTTTCAGTAATTTGCATTGTCCTTAACTTGTGTCTACCTGTACATCCCACTCTCCCTGCCCTTTTCTATTTTTTTTTCTATAGCCCCCTCTTCTTGTTTTTACAACTTTTTTTGTTCTGAATTCTTTGGCTATCCGAAATTCCATTTTCCGTCTACTTCTTATACTTACATTTGTTACTATTATTGGTTGTAAAATCTTTTGCTTCAGGTTATCAACCTTGTAGGTCTGGAGCCTTGGCACTTGGCCTGAACACCAAACCCTGTTTCAACTCTGGCTTTGATATCAATGCTTCCCAGAAAAGATGGGCTTCTCATGCCACAACAAAAGAGGATGATGGGAAAATCAGCATTGGACCACGTAGAGGCGGCGAAGTTGGGGAAGATGGAAAAGACTCTGGGGTTGTCTACTATGGTCCGATCTCATCTACTATCAAGAAAGTGAAACTTCTCTCGCTTTCAACCTGCTGCCTTTCTGTCTCTTTAGGCCCGGTGATAACCTTTATGACATCTCCGGGTATGAATGTGATCTTGAAAGGTGCTGTGGCATCTTCAGTGATATTCTTGAGTGCTTCTACCACAGCTGCCCTTCACTGGTTCGTGACCCCATATATCCACAAGCTGAGGTGGAAGCCTGGTTCAGACAGTTTTGAGGTGGAAATGTTGTCATGGCTTGCAACATACATTCCAAGGACCATTAAGTTTTCTGATATCCGGCCAGCAGAAACCAATAGGCCTTTTGTGACTTTTAAGGCCAATGGAAACTTTTACTTCGTCGACCCTGATCATTGCCATAACAAGGCTTTGCTAGCAAGACTGACTCCACAGAAAGCAACTCAGGAATCAGCTTTTAAGAATTTATGATCATTTGATGCTGAGTTCTCAGAAGTTTTGCTCTTGGTGGCTGAATTATGTTATAGAAATCATGTAGTGCAATGAGCCTTTGCGGCTTCTACTTGTTTTTTCATCTGTTTATGCATGAGACACCAGTTTCAGGTTTTTTGATAAAGAAATAATTAATATTTGGGAAATATGACCCTCCATATCCCTAATTTGGAGTATTGCATGATGGTCTTTTGTGAGGATTAGTGCTGCATGTCTATGGTTTCAAACTGTTAAAACCACATTAACAGTTAGAAACTTAATGAATGGTCTATATTCTTTGCTTAACAACACAAGCATCTCATATTTTTAGTCCATCTGACAAAAGAAAATTTCTTATATAGCTAGTATCTGTGCATATGTGCTTGATATGTTTTGTTTTATTCGTCATTTCAAGTTATCTGTGCATGGCAAACCAGATTTCTCTTACATTGCCAATGTGGGGCTTCAAGCATGAGATTGGGATCATATCAAGAAATTATACCAAGCATGAAGCTATCTCTTGTTACTATCATACTTTTTTTTTTTTTTTGCCAATTGTTACTATCATACTTCGAAACGCAAATTCTGTAAACATATCAACAAGGATAAGGTTTTTTCATGGCCTCGAAGAAAATTCCAACCAACTATACTTGAAAATTGTTGAAAACCACAATCAATATAATTTTTCGTGACAAGCCCTCCATATTTCACAATTCTAATGGAAGTAGAAACAATTTTTTTACTAGTTCAAAACAAAGTAATTTAAGATGATAAATAATTACCACTTAATCAATGGAGTTAGGAAGAGGCCAGATTCTGAAACTCCTTACAAATGGAGATCATCCAGTGCATGGATTTTGTGGCTTTCAAACCCTTAACAATAATGATTATGAATGAAAATTGTGAAGGCAATAATAAATATATATTTTTTAAATACACAATATATTGAGGGACAGCGAACAGAACATAAAATTTCAACTTTTTATGCGACGTATTGATTTGAGATTCTGTATAATTCAACGTAGAGATGATTTAACATCAAGAGAGCATTGTCAATTCTTGGCTTGGAGGTTGAACAAATCAATAAAAGAAATAGTAAAACATCAAAATATTGAAAGAAATCTTTAACCATTTTATATGAAATACTCTTTTTCTCTCGATTCACTCAAGAATTAGTGCAACCGACTCTGATGAAACAAGAACCATATAAGAGAGCTTTTGCCACCTTTGTACCTTTTGCACATGGAAACCTTCCACACCAAGCGAAAAGAAAAACTTTTGCACAGAAGAAATGAACATATAATTAGAGAAACACATTACCCTTTATGATGATTATACTTCATGACTTTTATAATTGGTGAATATACATTTTAGTTTCCTCCAACATCTTATATAAGACTTGATTCCACATTTGTAATTAGTGTGTACCTAAGTATTTTCAAATGCTCAAATCTGCTCATGTATTTATGGTTTATTATCATGAGCAAGCAGACATGTTCCTACTAAATTGAAACCAATGAGATTTGTGCACATAACAAACATGAAACTTATTATCATGAGAAAGTAGCTGTTTGTCATACCTCATACATATTCAAATGTTCCCATACCTATGGTTTACTCATACTTAAAAAAACTAAAAGAGTAAACAAAAACGCCATGGCAGAGGCTAGGGAAGGGGAAAGGTGGAAAAAGAGACGAGGAACATAATTATCTTCCAATTTTTCATTTCTTAAAATTGCATAACCAAGTTTTTAACAAGTTTTTTTTTTTTTCCTTTTTCCATTTAAGTCTCAAAACAAGTTTAAGCTAGACCTTAAATCTGGGAATGAAACAAGTAGAAAAGTGACCTTAACCAAAAAAAAAAAGTAGAAAAAAAAAATCTTGTAATCAGAAATATAATGAAACCACTCAAAATTTGACGCAATTATGAGTCAATACTAATTATATATTTTTTTTAAAGGCAACAAGATCCGAGCAAAGTATAGCAACAAATTCTAAACACACCACAACTGACACGAATTAAAACCACAAAACAAAACAGCAAAACGACGCCAGATTATAACCCCGCCACCGCCGATCGAGCACCCAGTTCTGAGAACAGCAGCCAAGAGACGACGGAGGAGACTTGAAATTATAACCAACAAGACAGACGACACCTAAGCACCTACCAGAAAAACTAGTAGCAACAACCCATGCTTTATTGTAATCCTTCTCAAAGCGCACAATTCACTTCTTCTTTGCTGCAGATTTGGTCACCTTGGCTCCACTTGGATCCTTCTTCTCCACACTCTTGATCACTCCCACAGCAACAGTCTGTCGCATGTCCCGGACAGCGAAACGACCAAGTGGGGGATACTCGGAGAAGGTCTCCACCACCATTGGCTTGGTAGGAATCATCTTAACAAATCCAGCATCACCATTCTTCAAAAACTTGGGCTCCTTCTCGAGCTCCTTGCCGGATCGTCTGTCAATCTTGGTTAGAATCTCATTGAACTTGACTGCAATGTGGGAGGTGTGGCAATCCAGCACAGGGGCATAGCCATTTCCAATCTGGCCGGGGTGGTTCATGATGATTACTTGGGAAGTGAAGTTGGCTGCCTCCCTGGCTGGATCCTCCTTAGAATTCGAGGCAACAAAACCACGCTTGAGATCCTTGACTGCGACATTCTTCACGTTGAAGCCAACATTGTCTCCTGGAAGAGCCTCCGTAAGAGCTTCATGGTGCATCTCCACAGACTTAACTTCAGTTGTCAGTCCAGAAGGGCCAAAGGTCACAACCATACCAGGCTTGATGATACCAGTTTCAACACGTCCAACAGGGACGGTACCAATGCCACCAATCTTGTAGACATCCTGAAGTGGGAGGCGGAGGGGCTTGTCTGAGGGCCTCTTG